TTAAACTTAATTGAATGTTTCAAATATAAAACTTATTAATTTTTACTGGCTTCTTACCTATGCCCTCCTAATAAGATTTTTATGATAGCTTGAATATTTACTTGTTTAAGACATGAGTACGTAGTAGACGATAAGTTCATACCTACATGTATTATGACAGTGTTTAATGTCAGATAGTTATGGAGAATAAAGATGGCTAAGTGGAAAAGCTGTCACGGAGGCATATGTGCCTACTTTGTACAATGTTTTCAGGGAAAAGATCAATCATTTATGTGTCAAGGTGTGGGAGAAGAGTTTTTGACATGGGAAAATAGCCCATACAGATCCCCACGAGAGGAAAATTTTTGGCATAATATAGGAATTCAGGTAGACTAGTGATACAGGAGATAGAATGAAATTATTTACTCAGATAATGAGAGCAAAGAGTCCTCAGCAGACCTTCCATTCTAATAAGCAGTAGCCCAAGAAATCGCTTCTTTTCTAACAAAGAGCAGTGTTAGAGATTGAGCTGCAAATATACATAAGGAAGTTGGAAGCTTGCACACGGATAATGCTGGCAGCTGCACCAATAGAAAAGGGTTCCCGGGGGTCAGGCATGTCCAACATGGGAACTCCATCTTCTCTTTTTGTTAGCATGTGTACACAAAGAAATTGGCAACATGGAGCAGCTCAGGTAGAGAATCCACCTGCATAACAAAAAATTGGTATGGGGACTGCCAGAAATTCATACCCTATGCAGATGGCATACCTGGTCCTAACAGGTTTTAAAGCCCTATGTAGATCAGACACCACCTTCTCACTAGCTCATCTATAAAACCCACTGCATTTCACTACGGATCGACAACCCATTTTTCTAGGACCTCTCTCTATAGCACAGAGCTAGTCTCTTTCTTTCTCCTCTTAAGTTTTTTCTCATAACCTCACTCTGTGTGTGTCCTTGTACTTAATCTCCATGGCCATAAGACATGAACCTTGGGTGTCACCATAGACAAGGAGGCCACTTCATTAGTGTGCCTGCATCAGAGTGAACCCTGAGAAATAGTAGGAAATAAAGTCAGAGAAGAAATGGGGCCTGTTCATACACACAATTAAGTCATTAAAAGAACAATGGATTTACTTGTAAGTCATTGGAATTACATTAAAGTGTTTTGAGCAGAGTGATGACATTATCTAATTTACATCTTGAAATGATCTTTCTGGCTGAAAGGGAAAAGATTGGTTGGGATAAAAGAGTGGGACCTGTGAAAAGGCTAGTACCGTAAAAGGGATGTTGTTAGCTTGGCCAGGGTGGTGGCATTAAAGGTGACAGAAACTGCTTAGGTTTAATTATCATTTTATGATAGCACTAATGATAATTTCTGATTGACTGAATGTGGAGCTTGAGAGAAATCAAGGATGATTCTGAAGTATTGACCTAAGTAATTAGTAGTACAAAGATACCTACCAATTGTGGTCAGCTACCAGCAGAAACATAGTTTATGGGAGAAATCAAATTGAATGTTGGATATGTTGAGTTGAAAAAGTCTATTTAACATCCAGTCTGCAAGTTAAGCACAGAAATCTAAAATAGAGAATATGTGCTAATTGGCTATTTTTATTTAACATGCTTTAAGGTTAACAGTAAAAGAGGTCAGGAGCAAGAAGGAAAACAACTGATATGAGAAACAGATGAGGAACCAATAAGAAAGTATTGTCCTAATAGTCAACAAAGAACTATTTAAAGAAATGAGTATGTCACATGATAGTGATAGATCAAGTGACGTGAAAACTGAAAGTTGGTCATTGGTTTTATGAGTAGGGGAATTACTGGAGACCAAATCAAAAATCATTGATTGCACTCAGAAAGTATAGCTTGCAAAGTTTCTGAATGTCTGTGTCTAATGTGCAGTAGCGGCACTCCTGCAGCAGAACATCTATCCTCATCATAACTCTCTGTAAACTGACAGCACACATTATAACCCGATTATGACCTTGTAGTTAAGAAATGTGAATATAGCAATATTAAAAATTTTTCATTTAATTGAGCAAGTGACTTTTGCAGGAATTGGTACTCTTTGAATCCATAGCATTATATGAGGTTTAATAGTAAGAACCGAAAATATTTTTAAGCCTGTGGGCAAAGGCCCAATATTAAAGCCCAGATCTTATTTCTTAGGTTGTGTAATGATATTAATTTACTAAAAATAAATAAATAAATCTTAGGTATCTGAGTTCTCTAAGTTCTTCACATTGTCTTGGTATTACTGAAATTTATTGGGCCTGCCCGAGAGAAATTATTTGATTTGACTATACCAGGTGTGAAACGTCATAAATACTCTTACGTTTAGAACTTTAGTGAGACTATAATTTATTTTTTAGATATCTCTTATTTATTGTTTTAGGATATTAATGGAAGATAGCTTAGATACAGGACAGAACTACAAAAAAATCAACATTTTATTTCCGTTGACAGTGTTTATCAGGCATTAATCTGTGTTAAATTCCCATGCAAGGCTTTATAAAATTAAGACAAACTTAAGCTTTTATAGAAGGAGCATAATTTTAGCCATTCACACTTAACATTATAAAATATGGTGTAATATCATTTTGCAAGCAGTAAGATATAATATCTAATCAGAAACTAATTAGAAATACAGTATTTTATCAACTATATCTTCTGTCATTTCAGCTTCCTTTTAAATCAGAGTTGTCTAAAATTAAGATATCTTAAATATTTTAGATGAATGATCTGTCCTCCTGGCAGAATACAAAAATAAAAATGATTTGCAGAGGAAAAGGTTTGAAAAGTTTAATAACCTATATTTAAAATGTAGCAAGACTTTTAGTACTTTCATCAATTTTGATATTAATGTCTTCCCAGTCATTTCTCAGACTATAATAATCCTTAAATAATGACTTTCAACATTAAAATGTTGATGATCTTTGTATGAGAACAAGTGTGTATTTATGGACTTTAGTTACCTAATGAAATGCAGGAACAAGTTTAACACTTTGTTTAGAAAATGATTTACTTTAATAATTAGTCTGGTGTCAGACATGTTGAAAACATAGGAATACCTTTTAAAAAAGTCACATGTACTGTGGCTTGGTTTGTGAGTCACCAGTTTGTGGCACTGCAGAAAGCTACATTAAATAGAAGTGATTCCAAGTGGCTGGATGAAACTAATTTGTATTTTTATTTATTTTATTGATATTATAAAATAGATTTTTATATATTGTTGTAAATTAAATTTATTTTCTATTTTTCAACCAGTCAATGTTTTAGAAATAACATTTACATTTGACTGAATTAGAAAATTAAAACTTTTAAAATCACATAGAATTAGGTATTTTTGTTTATTATTTACATTTAACATCTGATTCAGAAATTAATACTAGGAGAAGTATGACTTAAGAGAGTAATTAGACGTTATTTCAATGTGATTTTTTATTTACCTAAAATTGTGTATAATTCATCTAATTTTACCCATTAATGAAATTCTACTATAAAAATGTTTTCTCAGTTGTTATTAATGCCAGTTATTGTAATAAGGTAAGAACACATCAAGCATTCCAAATATATTTTAATGCAACTTTGTTAAATCAAAATATGAGAAAGTTATGTTCATGTAAGATAAACAAAATAAGAAACATACCAATTTATATATGATTAATATACTAAGTACTAATAAGTACTAATGTACTCTAGTTGTAAGAGTTTAAGGGTATATAATTTATAGTTTAAGTTTATAACTAATTAATAGTTTAAGTATTATGTTATTTTATAAATAAGTAGTATGGTTCAATTAAGCTGTATGATCATGTTTGCCCAGTTTTTCGCTGCTCAAAAGATTATATTATAGCATATGTTCTTAGAAAAATCAAAACAGTAAATGTATATTATAAGTAAGTATATGAGCAGGATTACGATGGTTACTTTTAGGTGTCTGCTTACTTGGATGAAGGCATACCTAGGTAGCTGGTAAAGCATTATTTCTGGTATGACTGTGAGTGTTTCCAGAAGAGATTGGCATTTGTCTCAGTGGACTGAGTAAGGAGGATCTTCCCTGAACTAATGTGGATGGGTACCAGCTAATTGGCTGAGGGCCTAGATAAAACAAAAGGAAGAGGAAAGGTGGATTCTCTTTCTCTTTTGAAGTTGTGGCATGTTTTTTCTCCAGCCCTTGATATCAAAACTCCAGGGTCTCTGGCTTTCAGAGTCTAGGACTTGTACAAGTATTCCCCCAGTTTCTCAGGACTTTAATCTTGGACTTAGAGTTGCACCTTTGGCTTCCCTGGTTCTGGGGTCTTTGAACTTGGACTAACTGATGCCACGAGCTTCCCCAGTTCTTCAGTTTGTAGATGGCTTATTCTGGGGATTCTCAACATCTATGATACATCCATGATACCTGTGTCATATCTTCCATATTCCTGTTTGGCTGCCTTGCAATAATTAAAATCTCTGCTGTAACCCTCCTGCTGTTCTCAGCATATTGGCTTTTCTGGGCAAGAAGAAATCTGTCAAGCTATAAGGGTACTTGAATGCTCTTTATTTTACAGATGAGGAAACTGTCATCTCAGCATTTGTTGACTGAGTGAATGAACTTGGCAGAGTTGGTTATCTACAGTCAGATGGTTTGGGTCAGAGCCCTTTTCCTGTGCACATTTCTGCTCTTATATTAATATAGCTTAGAAGCTTTAACAAGCTATTCATTTTTTTTTTCAAGACCCCAGTCTTTTTTATTCCTTAAGTTCACTGTTAAGTTTTTCCTGCTTATCTGTGTTTCAGTCCTTTCTCTTTGGGTGCTAGCTACAACTGTGATATTGGTCTCCAAAGACATTTAGATTATCTGACACCACATAAAGATTTTTTTCCCCTATAGTAAGAACAGGTCATACTAACTTCTTACTGTTGGTTAAGAAACAATCTTAGAATAAATATTTTACACTGCATCATTTTACCAAATATATCACAACAATAATAATGAATGAAAAAGATGAAGCAAATACATTTGACTTACAGAAGATTTCCAGATTTTGTTTTCTATTTTCAGTGTTTCATATTTCCCAACTGAAAGACTATAAAGCTCTGAGGATCTAAAAGATAAATACATCTTCAAAATATTAGATTCTAACCTCCCAGACAAGCATTGGCATTATTAACTTTTAATAGGACAATAGCAGAAAACAAGATTTGGTTCTTCTTTGATCCAGTAATGAAAATTTTATTAATAAATAGGATAAATTATAGTGTCAAGAAAATTTTTTTATTAAAGATTTTTTTCCTGGGGGCTAGGCCTGGGAATTCTGCCATCCATCTGAAAGAATGAGTTTTTTGTTCTTGTTGTTCACATATGATTCTCTTATAAGCTACAGCATTTTTTATTCATGGTACAGATATTAGTGCTAGTGTTGGGAGATGAGATTAAATTATATTCACTAATATAATGAAGTATGGGGAAGAGACTAGAAGAATCTAGTTTAGTGTTTGAAAAATCAATAAGTTTCCAAGTATCTGGCAAATCCAGAGAGGAAAATGATTGGAAGAACCACAAGAAAAGTAGACTGTATACATATAAGCCTTATTTGTAAGAAAAAAGTGTAGGTAAAAGAATATCAAACATAATTTGATATACAGTTGTGGAAGGAAACACTATATTCTCCAACTTTTACTATTTTTATTTTTTAAGCAAATAAGCTAATATTTTATTAGAATCAAACTATACTTTGAATTTAAGAAATTAATAATTTAATTTAGAGGTAATTCTTTATCAAAATCTGATAACTTAGGAAATGTTTGTTAGCCCATTTGAGCTGAAAGACCATCTTGATGGCTGCTACTTAGAACCCTAAGGTGACTTCTATGATGAAAAAAGTTATGAACCACTTTGGAAAATAAGAGTTCATGAGTGAAGATTCTGCTTTAGGTAATGAAATAATAATAGAAGCAGAAAGGTTAAAAAGCTTTTGTAAAGATCAACAACCAGTAAGTAGCAGGGCAAAAATCAGTGTAAGATTTTACAATCTCGGGGGCTTTTAACCATATCACTGACTTTTTGTAGAGCGTTTTGTTAATGAAGTAACACTTTCTATAGACATAATGTTGTGGCTAATGGGATATCTCCCAATATTAATACTTAATTTTTTTTGGCTATATATTTTTTAAAAAGTATTACCTTAAAACTGTAATAAAATCTCCTTGCATGCTATGGATTCCATAATGGGTAAAGATAATACTAAATTTGTCTTATATTTCTTTAATGTACTGTGCTATAATTTCATTATGAAATCCGTTAAAATATTGGAAAACTTTTAATATTACATTCTACATGAATCAGTTTTTAAAGATTTTTCTCAAAAAATACAGTCATAACAATATATAATTAAAGATATACAAAAGAGAAATAATCTTCAAAAAATTAAAATTTTTTTATACTTTTCAGAATGAGAGAAACACATTTTTAAGTGAAAATGCATTATCAGGCAACAACTAAAAAAATTACTAGTTCCTCAGCTTGCAAAGATCTCAAGGCCAAGTGCCTTTTCTATCATCAAGGATAAAAGAGCTAACCTCAGTACTGATTTACAGGATGGCTTTTATTTCTTTACTGAATTTATGAGCATTTATATAGTTTTCATACCTTAGGCAACAAAATGACAATGGCAGAATTGACCTTTAGAAAAAAATATATTTTTCCTCATTTCAAAAGAGAAATGAGTTCAGACATGGAGCTATAAAGTTCAAAAAACAAAAAGATAAAAGATTCTGAAAATGAATACAGTACATATATTTTTACTTGTATATAAAACATAATATATTAAAGTAAAGAAAACATATAGAGGTTCACAATTCTAAAACTTTTGAGTAAGTTGTTTTGATTTAGAAAACATACTTTTCTGAATACAGGTGATTAATTTCTAGAAGGGAAACATCTTTCTCAATAATATATTGTCTTAGTCTGTTTGGACTGCTGTATAACACAACATAGACTGGCTTGCTTATGGAAAAAAACATTTATTTGTCACAGTTCTGGAGACTGAAAGCCTGAGTTCAGGGTGCTAGCACAGCTGGGTTCTGGTGAGGACCAGCAGTCTTTTGGGACTGAGCCCCCAACCTATAGAGTTTGATGCTATTTCCATAGAAGACAGTGTAGGAATTTCATTGGAGGACACTTATCTTTTATCCACTGAATAACTGATTGCTTGCTTGCTGGTGGGAAGAAACTCCCGCATATGGTAGTCACAGTCTTCCATGTTGATTGTTGTGCTGTGAGAACAGAGAAAAACTGTTTTTCTACTCACATCCTCAAAACATATGCCCTTATGAATAGAAAGTTACAACCAAAAATGTCATTGCATCATAACCTGTAGAGCCAAAACCTTGAAATAGTTGAAATCTTCATTAACCATTTATATGGTCAATATGTTTTATTTATATAGTCAGTGTAAATTAACCATTTAATCATTAACCACTTATTTATATGCAGAGTTTTTAGTTCCTTTTGGTAGATAATTTTAGCCATTGGTGAAATTTGAAATAGATGGACTTATTTACAAAGTCTAATAAGGTTCGAGTTCACTATACATTAACTGTATAAATAAATTCTAGTATATTCATAGATTATACATCACTGAGAATGAAGTATAATATTGATGAGACTCACAAATATAATTGTATGATTTTTTGTGTAAGCTGTATACGAAAAATATAGGCCACATGTTTCCATTAATATAAATGTAAGACACAGGTAAAACATGTTTGTGTTTTAGAAGTTAGATCGTGATGCTGTTGCAGGAAATGGTGATTGAGAGGAACCACAAGGGAGTCTCTGGTGTGTCGATAATGTTCTATTTATTGCACTTTAACATTTTCAGGCCCAGTTTATGCAGACCTAAGTTTACTTAAAAATATTTTTAAAAATCAGATATTGAAATTCACTGATTTACTCTTGATTTTCCATGGAATCAATGTTAAGTGACATAAATTTCAACAGTAAAATTTTAAATAAATCACGGTAAGTTTGGAAAAATTTCTGGAGAATTTCTAAACTACTAGACATAGGAATATTAATGCAATTATAGAAATAGTAGTATTTTCAGGAAGAATTTCTTTGTACATAGTTTGTGAAAGCAAAGATGAAACTTCTATTATCACCCCAAAATAATCTTGGCATAAAAGCATTGAGATCCACTATATTATTAAATAGACAATACAGTATTTATATTTCCTGATTAGATTTCAAATTTATTCCACTACTTACTTTTTATTCCAGTAGTATGTTATATGATGCTAAAATTCATCATTAAAGTAATTATTCTCACTTTCCTGTTTCTCCTCAATCAGCTTGGATATAGTGGGTAGAAAAGCTATTGTTTTTAGTATAAAGCCTGTGCAATATACACATGAACTGAAAAATATTGTTGAGAGGTTGTATAACGATTTGTGTATTCTTAAGTATGGAAAATATATAGTATTTACAATATTCATATTTGGAAATAAAAGAAAGTATTTCTTTGTAGCATATGGTACATGCAATTTTAATAAGGAGTATTTTAGGAGAGAAATTATATAAAATAAAAATTTTGAGTGTAGCCAAGAAAAATTCCAGTGAGACTGGTTAGCATGAATTTAACAGTGAATACTACTGTTTACATATTCTAGTGTTCACTAAGTAATAATCTAAAATCAAATACTTTATTTAGCAGAACATAAAATCAAAGTCATTTAAATATGTCATTTAGTCTGACAAAAAACATTTAACACTATATTGAACTAAAAATGTATAATTTTATATTACAGAGAAATAGCAACACTTTCATCTCCTGAAAATATGAAAAAATTATCACTGACCTCTGGGCTCCTTTCTTTAAAATCAGTCTTGTGGAATCAAAGACGTAAAGGTGAATGTAAATTACAGGAACTAACTTTTGCACATTAAGCTTAGCTACTTTGTGCAGAGTTCTTAGTTCCTTTTGATAAATAATTTTAGCCATTGGTGAAATTTGAAATAGATGGACTTATTTACAAAGTCTAATAAGCTTCTAGTTTGCCATGCCTTAAAAAATTTCTAACACTTATTTGCAAGAAAAGCTCACTGAGGCTTATTTTTTAAGGCAGGTTTTATTTACTGTTATGGTCAACTTGAGGCAATAAAAACTTAGCCATACCAATAGTTCGACTTGAGATCATTCAGAATTTAAGCCTCAGATGACTTCATTAAAGATATAGGTTACAGGCATTGTTAGATATGTAGGGTGTTGACAGTATTTTAATCAATCCTAAAAACTTGAATACTTTAAATTTTACTAATAAGAATTTACATCTAGTGTTTATAATGCTAATTAAAATATTCACTTTACCAATTAAAAAAACTATGACCTTCACTTTAATAAATTGCAATATTTCTGGTCTAGATCAGAGATTAAGGTAGCTGAAATATTTGTAGGAGCCACTTCTGGAGTTTAGACTTTCAGATAAAATGATAGTTGACCATCCCTGAAATGTATACCGTATTTTATTGTATTGTATATGTATTGTATTGTATTGAATGTGTATTGTATTGGCTAGTAAAGACTAACCAATCTGAGTTATAATTGAATTTGAAGAGCACACAGACATGCACACATACATTGGCATATATCATACTATACTGTCTTTGGGAAGAATTCTAGAGTACTTTATTTAAAGTATTAACCATAAAAATATGAGAAACTCTGGAGAAGCTATAAACAATGTTGAACTGCTGCACATTTGTTGAAGGTAGGTAGGGCTAAAGAGGAAATGGTGGGTTAAAACCTGCTAAAGAGAGAAGTCAGAGGCAGTTCTAAGGGAATAGCAGACAAAATATTTTTATGTTTTGATAATGCTGGAACACATTTCCATAGCTTTAAAGTAATAAGAGCCAAGTCACTTATTGGTTAAATCAGCAACAACTCATTCAGCGTCACCAGTTTGGTGTCAAGCACATCTTTTTGTTGAAGACTTACTGGATTGAAATGTTTGAGTTGCTCTCTGTACTTCCCTGTAAGAGGATAACCTGTAAAATTCCAACTACAGTAAATACCTGGCCAAGTGGTCTCGGGCAAGAGTTACCAAAAGTGCCTCTGTGTGGACTTCTGGTTTTAGCTCTTGCATGTAAAGCACGTGGAAGTTGTACTCCCATTCTTAAAATGAGAACATGTTAAGAAAATGGAAAATAAATGACTTTCCTTGGATCCATCAATAATAAGCTTCCACTGTAGAATTATTACAATGGTTACAATCTATAAACCTGACAGCATCCATTGCTGGTGAAGATGCAAAACAACAGAAACTCTCAATCATGGTTGACAGGAATGAAAATGGTGCAAACAATTTGTAAAATGTTTGGTACTTTTTTTTACAGAGTTAAACATTATCTTACCATATAATAAAGAAAGAGCTGTCCTGGTTTTTACCCTACTTATTTGAAAACTTATGTCCACACCAAAACTTTCATTTAAATGTTCATCACAGCTTTATTTATAACCACCGAAAACTGGAAGGAAAAAAAGGATGCCCTTCAATAGATGAATTATACCATATATATCCTTCAGAGACTGGCTTATTTAGCTTAGCAATATGTATTTAAGAATTTACCATGGCTTGATCATTTGTATTTGATTATATTGTATTTAACAAATGCTAATATTTTATGATACATTGGAACACTATTCAGAGATAAGAAACAATAGAAATTATCAAGCCATGCTAAAATCTTAAATACATATTGCTAAGTTAAATATGCCAGTCTCAAAAAGATATATACTGTATAATCCCATTCATGAATTTAGAATGTATCATCTTCTAGAAAAAAACCAAAACTATAAAGATGCTAAACAAATGATTAGTTACCAGGAGTTTAGTGTGGGTAGAGGCTTCAGTAGATTAAACAAAGGATTTTCTTGGAACAGTAATACTATCCTATATGATATTCTCCAATACAGTGAAGGATCCATTATTCTATGCATTTATCAGAACTCACAGCATAAAGTGTAAACCTTTTAGGCAAATTTAGTTATTTAGGACATCAAGGAATCCCAGGATGTGATGCAGATTTTGACAACATAATCTAATTGTATTACAAATACATGATATACCCCCACTAAAAAAAGGGAGGAAAAAGACACTGACCAGGAAACTTCAGAAATGAGTGGAATCTGTAAGACTGGCAAAAAGAATTGTTCTTAAGCATTATATCCTAGTTCATAAGGCGTTTTCCACCAGGATATAGATTAACAACTCTAAAATCTTTATAACTGCATCCTAAGATTGATTAATTAAACAAATAATGGCAAATGGTAGAAGCCAGGCCTTCTTACTATTAAAATAGAATGTTACAGATAAGCAAAGGGTTAAAGTTAGATTATATGGTAGTAGACTATATTTGGAAACATAAGTATAAACTCATGTTTTGCTTAATATGAATAGACTTGCTTACATATAGGAATATATATATATATGTATATATATATATATATATATATACATACTTTGGTTAGTACGCATACATGTTTCTTTATTCTGTCACATGAGAGGGTCTAGTAGCAATGGCAGTTCATTAGCAACAAGAAAACCAAGCAGGCTGATCATTGTTTCTAATCGCAATCTCTAGTAAAAGAAACTTGGGCTCTGTGGGAAAAGGGATGGTTGTTGGGCTGGGGAAAATATATATAAAATGAACCTGGGGTATTTTGTAGTGCAAAATGTAATAACATACTCAAAAAAGAAAATAAAATGAAGAAACAAAACCCAACAGCGATAATATGTCAAAAGGACACAAAGCCAACTAAAAGAGCTACCAATAGTCAAGGCTCAAAGTATTTGCACAAGGATACACATAAAGTAGTGTTAGATTTTAACTCAAGATATAAAATAAATATTCATGTGCCTATATTGACATATATATATATATATATATATATATGTAATTTAAGTCCATCAATTGCAAAGAAGATACAAATGTCCTCTGCAGAAAAATTTGAAATAGTTTAGATAGCTAGCTACTCTGTTATCAAGGAGGTTAAACATAGCTCCTTGCCTCTTAACTGTGGTCTGTACGTAGTGA